ACAAGCTGATGAGGGGGATCCTGTCTTGTGCGTACTGGAGAAGGTGTTGCTTGCTCCCCGACAACCAGTAGACTCCCAGCGTCATAGTTTGTTCCGCACGAAATGCACAATTAATGGAAAAGTCTGCGACTTAGTTATCGATAGCGGCTGTACTGAAAACATCATCTCCCGTGCCGCCGTCCAAGCTCTACAGTTGAAGGTGTTGAAGAGCAGCAACCCATATAAGATTGGATGGGTTAAAAAAGGGGTCGAATTCCTTGTTTCAGAATGTTGTAAGGTTACGTTCAGCATTGGCAATAGATACATTTGTCAAGTGAATTGTGATATCCTTGACATGGATGTCTTCCATCTCATCTTAGGGAGGCCGTGGCAGTTTGACAATGGGGCTATACATGATGGCAGGGTTAATACGTATACCATAGACTGGAAGGGGAAGAAACTTAAATTGACTCCATCCACACCGAGCTTGCAAAAACCTAAATCCAACAGTTTAACCACTGTTCAACTCGTCTCGGGCCATGCCCTCTTACAATTGAAAGGTGAAGACTACCCAGCGCTTGCATTAATGGCGGTAGATTCGGCGTCGAACACTTCCCCACCGAGCCAACCGGAAGTCCGCAAACTCCTAGACCTGTTTGCGGATATCATGGCTGCCGACTTGCCACCCTCACTGCCACCATTACGCAATCTTCAACACCAAATCGAGTTTATTCCAGGTGCTACACTTCCTAACTTACCTCATTATCGTATGAGCCCGCGTGAACATGCCATTCTGCAGGAAATAGTGCATGATCTTTTGCAGAAACAATTCATCCAACCAAGTTTAAGTCCGTGTGCGGTTCCCGCCCTGATCGTTCCGAAGAAGGACGGGCAATGGCGGATGTGCATTGACAGTCGCGCCATCAATCGCATCACCGTGAAGTATAGGTTCCCCATTCCAAGGATCAATGACCTCCTCGACAGGCTACACGGTTCTAAGTTGTTCTCCAAGTTGGATTTGAGGAGCGGTTATCACCAGATACGCATTCGCCCCGGTGATGAATGGAAGACGGCTTTCAAAACCATTGAGGGGCTGTTCGAGTGGAAGGTTATGCCGTTTGGGCTGTGTAACGCGCCGTCAACCTTCATGAGGCTGATGCACGAAGTCCTCAAGCCGTATTTGGACAAGTTTTGTATTGTCTACTTTGATGATATATTGGTGTTTAGTGCTTCTCTTACAGATCATTTGGAACACTTGAAACTGATACTAGAGACCTTGCGTGGTAATCAACTCTTCCTCAATTTGCATAAGTGCCAATTCGCCATGAATCAAGTGCATTTCCTGGGGTTTGTCCTCACCCCGAACGGGATTCAGACGGCACCACAGAAGATCTCGGCGATCATAGAGTGGCTAGTTCCTACGTCTATAGCACAAGTGCGAAGCTTCCACGGCTTGGCGAACTATTACCGCCGCTTCATCAGGGGATTCAGTAATATTATGTCGCCGATCACCAATTGCTTGAAGTCGACTTCATTCAGCTGGACCACCGCCCAACAAAGAAGCTTTGAGCGGATCAAGCACGCCCTCAGCTCCGCTCCCGTCTTAGCCTTCCCGGATTTTGAAAAGGCCTTTCAGGTGGACACGGATGCATCCGCTATCGGCATCGGGGCGATACTGTCGCAAGAAGGTAAGCCTGTGGAGTATTTCAGCGAAAAGTTGAGCGCAGCCAGACAACGGTGGTCCGCGTATGAGCAAGAACTTTACGCTGTAGTCAGAGCGCTGAAACAATGGGAACACTACCTTTTACACAAGGATTTTGTTCTCTGCAGTGATAATCAAGCATTGCAATTCATCAATAGCCAGAAAAGCATCAGCAGAATGCATGCGAGATGGGTCGTGTTTCTCCAGCGATTCAGTTTCGTCATCAAACACAAGGCTGACAAGGTGAATAGGGTGGCTGACGCCTTGAGTCGCCGTTCGGCGCTACTAACCCATCTCCAAACTGAAATAACCGGACTACAGCAGTTGAGTGAACTGAATGCTAATGACAAGGATTTTTCCCGAGTGTGGGAATCGTGTGTATCTGGACTTCCACAGCAGGATTATTCGGTGCATCAGAATTTCCTGTTCAAGGGGAACGCTCTCTGCATCCCGGGCTCTTCTTGGCGTCCACAGATTATTCAGGAACTCCATGGTGGAGGTTTATCCGCTCATTTGGGGCGAGATAAGACACTAGAGATAATTCAGGCCAGATTCTATTGGCCACACCTCCGGAGAGACGTCACCCGATTCATTGAAAAATGTTATACTTGCCAAGTATACAAGGGAACAGCTCAAAACACGGGACTATATATGCCTTTGCCCATACCTGACTCGATTTGGGAAGACATCACTGTTGATTTTGTCTTGGGCTTACCTCGGACTAAAAGGGGGTCAGATTCCATTATGGTTGTCGTCGACCGCTTCTCCAAAATGGCCCATTTCATATCTTGCAAGAAGACGTTCGACGCCATCCGCATTGCCGACATCTTCTTCAGAGAAATCGTAAGATTACACGGATTGCCTCGTAGCATCACTTCCGATCGTGATGTCAAGTTCGTTAGCCATTTCTGGCGGGAGTTGTGGAAAAGGCTTAACACCGAATTGAAGCTTAGCTCCGCCTACCACCCGCAAACTGACGGGCAGACGGAGGTAGTAAACAGAACATTAGGCAATATGCTTCGTTGCCTTGTCAAGGACAATCCTAAAAGGTGGGAAGAGATGTTGAGCCAAGCGGAGTTTGCGTACAATGCAATGCCTAATAGATCTACGGGTTATAGTCCTTTTGAGGTGGTTTATACTAAATCACCAAATCAATTGGTCGACTTGGCCATTTTGCCTAAGGATCGTCCATCCGCAGCAGGTAAGATTGCTAGTGAAGCTATGGAGACTCTGCAAAAGGTAAGGGACAACCTGCATCAATCTACTGAGAAATACAAGGAGGACGCCAACAAGCACAGACGCCACAAGGTGTTCACCGAAGGCGAACTGGTGATGCTGAGAATGCGCCGTGAAAGATATCCGCAGGGAACTTATTCTAAACTCAGCCCAAGGAAGATCGGACCTTTCCCGATTCTGCACAAAGTCAATGATAATGCCTATGTCATTGATCTTCCTCCTGACATTCACACGGCATCCACCTTCAACGTTGCGGACATCTACAGCTACCACCCACCAGACAATTCACACGTTTGTGAAATCTCGTCGGAGTCGAGCTTCTCGGAGCCGGGGGAGAACTGATGTGGCCATCTGTGTTGCCGCCTGCCACGTTGGGTGTCTGCTCCATGATATCCTGCTGCTAACCGACTCCTGAGCACTTTTAGTTACTTTTAGTAATATTAGTTATTTTAAAATTAGTTATCTTAATCCCTGTTTAGCCGTATTTAGTAATAGCTTCTAGAGTTTAAAAGTTGTATTGGGACAGGAGTATAGACAAACGAAGATATACAAAGAAACTTAATACAGTTTTACTGTTCCATTGGAAGTTCGAACTTCCTCCCGGTGCTACTCGCCGGCGGCTTCATTATTATGTACTTTATGTCAATTTGGTGTACATCTAATTGGTTCATGGGGCCTTAGTTTTTCGTAAGTTTAACCCAAGTAGTTGATCCAATCAACAAAGAATCTGAATTTGACCCATTTTCAAATTTCAAGTCTTTCTTGGCCCATCATCAATTTTGGCTGAATTTTCTTATTGCTTTTAACATTTTAATTTAGTTTGAATTGTACTAAGCATAAGGATTGTTTTTTCTAATGTAAGATTTAGTTTCTTTATAAATAGGACTTATGTATAAACTTTTTAAGTGATCGGATTATTGAGATTATGAGGATTTTCTAGAAACCTTATTCTAGCTTTCTTTGTTTTCTTGTCTTAGGATTCTACAATTTGCTTTCTTTGATAAAGTGTAGAAAAGAGTACAAGCTGGTTTGGAAACTACTATCTATGTCTTCCTAAAACAAAAAAACTAGCAAAAGAGGGAAGAGCTTTACTATCTATGATAATCCATTCATAAGCACAACAAAAAGTGTAAGTACCAAAAGTAAATGTAACAAGAACCTCCTTAGCTAGCATTATGAGGTCCCCCATGTAGTTGCAGGCCACTAACATATAATTTTATTAAAAATTATCACTTGTAATGTATGAAAAACAAATACATTTTATTTAGTCCACAAGATAATGTAATAATTACCAAAAATCTGAAATTCTACAAGAAAATATTGATGAAAATAAAATTCAGCAACTAATCAAATTCACGCTTTTAAAAAAACTCAACATGTAGTTAGCTTGATAAAATTTCAGTCATCACAGCAGAATTAATTAATGAGTAATCAATTTAAAAGACAAGAAGAAAGATGGAAATTATCCTAAAGCGAAAAGTTAGATCTCATGGCAGTGTCCCCTTCAAGTAGCCTCCTCCACCAAACTAAGTCGGTGTTTCAATGCTGCAACAACCCCCCTCCACTGCTCCACTTGCATCTTAATATGAGTGATGCTGAAAGATGCGTTTCTGTCTGTGGTGGTGCTGTTTGTGGGTGGGGATGGGCTTGGGATTTTGCAGTGGGGCTTGTTAAGGATTTTCTTTTTGTGCGCGGGCTTGATACTTGAGCAGAGGAGCCTCCAAAACTCCATTATTCAGAAATTATGCAATTTGGTAAACTGAACTCCAGGAATTTAGATTCGGCCTTTCAAACTGTACTATATAATATTGATGGTTATTAAAGTCTAACAACCTTGCGTCTTCTCATCCATTTTATTCTCATATCACAATAATTGTGTTTGCCTATCTTGTACTTGAATCTAGTGAGTTAAGAACCTCAAATTTTGTCTATGGAGTTGTCCTTCAAAACCTTGAATCACAGAGCTTGCACCCTGGTTGTGTGTGAAAGGCTGGACCTCCATGTTATTGCTACAATTTATCAATTTCTTTGACGATAAAATATTAACTTTTGTTTGATCATTCCATTACCATTTTCTTTGCAGGCGAAGCATTTCCAACTTCTACACTGGTAAATCTAAGTCATTCACAAGTTTGTCAGATGTGGTGGCTTCCTGTGATTCTGCGAAGGACCTTGCCAAGGAGGAGAATTCCTGCACTCGCAAGCGAAAGAACCTCCTTGCATTGAAGATAATGTTGGAGAGGCCACAAAACACGTTGAAAAGTTCAGGAGGTGGCATAACCAAAAAGCTAACTGCTCCCACTCGAAGCACATTGGCCATTGCAGCTGCTTTGAGCGGCTCTCCTAGACACAGCAATGGAGGTGAAAATGTGAACGATCTGCAGCAGAATGCCCTACCACCTCTGCCTCGGCTTGGTAAATCTGTGGCCACTACTGCTTCTGAAGTTGTCTTATCTTCACCTCAGCAGTACTCTTTTCCATTGCGATCATTCTCATTGGGTGATCTATCAGGAATGGCTAATCTTGGATCTACCATTGAAACAGGTAACGTAGAAAATAATTTCGAGTGATGATGCTTGTATTTTATTTATTACATCTGCAGTTTGCCTCTTTGGATCATGAGGCTTTACTGGCATGCACTGGCATATGAGATGCTTAGTTACTAATTTACATGTTTTAACTGGTGAAATATCGCCAGTAAAACTATGAGTAGGTTCTATTAGGTGTAGATGGAGCCTTGGAGGTGGTTTTTGTTTGCTGGGTCTTTATCTCTCATTGCTGAAGTTGAAACTGTGCATTAGTGTATACTTGGTCTTAGCAATTTATTGTATATAGAAACATTCGATTTTTTTTAATTGCAAAAATTCCATTATTATATTCAATTAAATGAGTACAACATCACGCAATTGAAGAAAATTGTTAATTGAAAAAAAAATCAAATTACACCGTAAAAAATAATTGTACAGTAATAAATTAGGATCCCAGCTGTAGAAGAGAACTTCAAAAGTCCATATTTAAAGTATTTTTTTTGAAGTTCGGTAAACTGTTAGACTAGTCCAGTCGGCCCAGCACCAGGACCGGATACTGGCATATTCCAGGCGGACCAAGCAAGTTGTCGGCCCCCTTGTGGTGCCCATGATTTGAATGCAAATTTAAAACGGAGGGGGTGGTTTAGGAGGGAATTAATTTTGGGAGAGGTTGTTTAGTAATTATCATTATAATTATATTCTCTAAATAGGGGGGTTAGAGTTAGGATTAGGATTATATTTTGTGTTGGATGAATTTTGCTTTCTCTTAGGTTGCTTGGGCTCTAGCCGCCGGCTAGAGATTCGAGAGTCGGACTTCCTCTTGAATTGAAGATTTCATTGTATCTTGTTTGTTTTCTTCCATCGTTCACCGGTTAACAAATTTCTTTAGTATTTTGCCATCAAATTTCTCTCAATTTCTGCTTTTATATTGCTGAAATCCCAAATTTTAGCCAAGATCTTTTGATTCCTGCAAGTACTTCCAATCATAAACCAGTGACAATATACTTTCTTTTTATATCACTATTGATATAAAAAAAAATTGAAATATTTTGTCTACTTATTTTTCTATACTAGAAATACTAACATTATTATCATAAGACTGAATTTAGATCACAAATATCCCAAACATTAACAAGGTGTTCATTAAGAGCTAATACATGTGTTTGGTTTGGATCAATGATCATTATGTAAATTGAGGTGTAGATCAACTCTTTTGGGCTCGACACTCAAGGAAGGTTATGATACCATGACATGATTTAAAGTTATTTCAATATTGTGTACAAACTAGATTAGAAATAGGCAAAGTTTCAACAAAGACATTTGAAGGAATGATAGATTTTCGGAATTATGGGTGAGCCTTGATGAAGTTGTTACTTAAAATTTTGCAAATGAAAAATATGAAGGAATGGCTATAAATTCTACTTTATGTCAATAGCCATGTGTAGTGAAACAAATCTAAATATCCTCCATAGGGATAGTAAACATCTATTTGTACAAGGACCTGCATCACTAATGGCCCGGGAGATTAGCACTATCAGTATATTAGTGCACATCGCTGTAGTTGAATGTAATAGAAATTAAGGATGCTGATTGAATGAATGCTTGGTAGCCATAGCGTGACCTTTGATTGATCTTACTAGTAGTATTCTTTTAGATTTCGTTTGTGACAGCTATCTCATTGCTTTAGAAAACAATAAGAACATTATCTCAAACGAATCCTTAGGCTTCGTTTGGGACGGCTTTTTTATTGCTTCATAAAGTAGATTTTTAGTACATAATTTTTAATTTTTATATTAAAAAGTTGTTTTAAGATGCAGCAAAAAAGACATCATAATCAAAGCCTTGATTAGAGTTATTTGATGAGAAGTGATTTTGGGGTGAGAAATTGTCATGCAGGACTTAAAATCTCCTATCTTTTACTCTCGCTTGATCTCTAGGAAACGGGCATGACATTACCATTTGACATATTTTATATTGGACCTGGCTTTAATCATTTTTGTTTACTTTGGATGGAGATGAAAATGAATATGATTCATGCAAACTAGATTCATAAAGCGAACCCAAAATTGATAGGAGAAAAAATCCTGATAATAGTGATGGTGATTTTGATGTTTTGGTATCCTAGTCGTAAATTTGGAAATATTAGGGGAGAATATTTCGATAAAATTTAAATTTTTTAGATTTATTTTGAGATATGCTAATTATTTGCGTATTAATTTTTCTAATTAAAACTTTAAATCAAAATTTTTCTAACTCTAGTTTTCTCCCTTTATATCATGAATTTTCATCTGTCTTTTTTTTTTTTAAACAATTTTTTCCAAGCAGAGAAAGGATTACAACACCGACCCAAAAACAGTAGACACCAAAATACATCAAAAGACGGGAAAATAAAGCAACCTAGATAAACCAGACAAAAAATGATGCAATAAATGATTCAACAGTCAACAACGGACTCAGGGTGCCAGCCCCCTGCAATCAACCAACGGTCAGGCACGGACCATTCATTGATAACAGCAACTCATCAACAACCCACACAAACAACCACCAAGCACAAGGGCACACCACCAAGGTTGCCAACAAGCCCAGGCCAAAAGGGAGAAAAGCAGGGGGGCGCCTCATCATCGGCCAAAAAGTTAATAAAGCCCACGCCAACAAAAGCGAGAAGAAAACTTAAAAGCCTATTTCTTCTTAAGATTTACTATTCCGTCTTTTACCTCCACCACTGGAACTATACTTAACATCATAATCACAGTCATCAAAATCATCATCCTCCCCCAAAGAAGAAGAGGAAAGGTTCTCATTCAACTCTAGCCAATCTGATTGAAGTAGAACAGAGTTATTCAAAGGGCGGGACATATGAGCTTTCAAATCTGCATTAGATGTAACGGAAATAGTAATATCAACATTCCCCTTCGAGACATTCACAAAAGGAGACACATTCAACTCAGCATTAATAGGTAAATCATAAGTCAAATAAACAACCAAACTTTCAACCTCCCATGCTACAAGCTCCAAAGGAATGGTGCCATCAGAAACAACTGATGCCTAGGAAGGAAAACCATGGAGATCCTCACCAAAGATAAAACCAACCCCAAAAGCCACCTCATCCGACAAATCACCTGAATCAGCTACAACAACCTCACATGAGTGGCTAGCTATAAGATTTAGACCACAATAATTTTCACTCAAATTTTCATTTACTCCATTACAACAAACATTCTTAGGAGGATCCGAAAAAGCAACAAAAGGAACATGCTCCTTCACCACAAGAACAAAGTCACTAAAGGCTATATCAGAGTCCAATGTCACAACATTAACCCCCAAACAATCAGCAACACTCCCAACAACAACACCAATAGGACTCAAAGCATTAGCAGCATCAGCATTTTCCATCCTACAGGTATTAGGGGCTGAAGAAGCCCCCACCCGAACACACACATTCAAAGACGCACGTACGGGAGTCAGCTCTGAACGATAGGGGCAGAAACAGCAGAGGTAGGGGGAAGGAAATTAGTAGGAATAGAGGGATCAATTAGATCCAATGAAGGAGGGTTCACAACGGGAACAAGTTTAGAAACCATAGGAGGCTGAACAGAAGCAACATCTTGCCTTAAATGAGGAAACAACTTAAAACATTCAGACTTCTTATGCCCCACAGATTTGCAATGAGGGCAGTAACTAGGAAAACATTATAAAAAAACTTTCTGAATGTAGCCTAATTTCTCAGGCCAAGCCAAACTGAATCAGGATAAGTTTTAGAAATGTCCATTTCCACAAGGATATGAGCAACGGATGACCTCGAGCCCACAGGAGTTGTATTGTCGGTATGAAGAGGATGACCAAATAAAGACCCCAGACCAAAAAGTATGCGAGGAGAAAAAAGATGAGGGCGAAGCTTCGGAAAGGAAATCCAGACATAGAAGACCAGGGACTCCTCCAATAGGTCAAGGAATGGCGTCCATTTAATCACTTTTATAAAGCAATCAAAAACGAAATATGATCTATGCAAAAACCCTACCGTAGTCGAGATCATTACAAAGCTTGATCAAGACATTGCTCTAATCCAAAAGAGTAACAAAAAATTCACCCGATAATTTGAGGTTGAAAAAAAATCTCCTAATCGAGTCTAACACCAAATGCCGCAATGGAAATTTCCCCACTAAAGCGAAATCAGAAGGCTTAGCGAGGAAGAACTTCATACTCTGAAATCCATAAAGCCGGCAAACCTCAAATCGTAGTGACTTGCATATCCGGAAACGTCTTAGACGCATCAGAGTCAAACAAAACCTCCTTGAAAGATTTGGAGCGATTCTTACTATCCAGAAAGCTAGGGTCTAAACGCTTAACATAATTCGCCATAGCACCAGAGAAAGAAAAAAGCAAACAAAAATAACCAGGCTAAAAAATGGACGGAAAAGAGTCAAAAAAACTCCCCTCAGCGCGAAGGCGCCGGAGCAGAACTACCTCCAGCGACGGCTAGGGCAAAAGCCCTAGCAGGACGAAACGAAGGAACCCACCAGTGAAAAACATTACTGGTAATTTGATTTTCATCTGTTCTTCAGCGAAAGATCTTTTAATTTTAGGTTTTATTTATGATAGTTTTTTGCTGCTTTTAAGATATTTTTTGTGCTATAAAGTTGCTATAGAAAACAGTGGCAACAGTAAAAGAACCATCCACGAAACCTTAGGGATTTGACTTTCTTTCACACATGATACTACTCTACTGTCTTAGGTCTTCAGTATAGGACAAAAGTATTAAAAATGCAAAATAAAATAATAAATCCAAATGAAAAGCCTTGTTATATGCCTTATTACAATTGAATATATATATATAGAAATGGCTGATAGTGCAAACTATTGAGTAGTGCACTCTTTATATATCGCCCAATCTCCAAAGAGGCAAAGATCAACATATATTATCATTCAGTGTTGCCTAACAAGAAGCTAAGAAGGACTTTATTGAACTGATTTGGATCTTCCAGCTGAGGCACATGGCCTGTATTCTTCAGGACTTCCAATTTTGCATTCTCTCCCAGTTTCCTGCAAGCTTGCTTTGTTATTTGCTAGTTTGATTGTACATTCTAATACATAAAATTTACAAAATTGTAGAGTAGAGAGAGACAAAATTAGTGTAATTCATCTCATTTTTCATGTCAATATGCTACTTTTTGAATGGACAAATCTTTTTGATGAAGATAAATAATATATGATAGAAATTGTAGATACGAAAAATATCACCTTCTTGAAAGTCTCGTATTTGTTTGATGGTGTCTTAGGGCATCTCCGAACGAACAATTTTTTTTTTTTCACTCTAAAATGCAGTAGCTCATCTCCAACCGAATTGATTGTTTTCCATCATAGGGGAAAAAAAACTCATCTCCAACCGAGTTTTATTTCATAACACAAACAAAGAATATTCCTGATATATTCTTTCTCCAACTGAAAAATTGGTGATTGTGACAGTGCGATGCCAATCGCATTGTTCACATCGTGAGAATGGCATAGATTTTGACGTTTGGATGGAGCAGCTTCGAACGGTAAACGACACAGATTTTGACGTTCGGATGGAGCAGCTCCGAAACGGTAAACGATGGTTTAGCGTTAGGCTGAAGATAGCCTTAAAAAATTGTAATAGAACCAAAGAACAATTTGATGAGGTGTTTGACATTTTGAAAGCTTGATGGTATTATTGTACAAACCAAATTTTTTGTTGAGGATGAATATGTCTCTGCCTTATAAATTTGTTTTGTAATAAGTGCAACACAGATATTAGGGATTTACATATACGTCTGAGAATAATCTTAATATTTACCTATATAAAATCATATTGTTTAAACCATATTAAAAGATAATTTAAAAATATTTTATATTTTAAATAAATTAATGTTAGTGATTGTATTATGTGTTTTAAAAGTCAGCGTGTTATTTAAGCAAATATAAAATTATAAGGATTAGTTTATGTGTGTGTGTGATATATATATATATATATATATATGTTTGAACCATCGCCCGACGCCGTTGCTCCGCCATACCACCACTTGAGGCCCCCACCTCCGTCGGACCACCGCCTGACGCCATTGCTCCGCCGGACCACCACTTGAGGCCGTCACCTCCGCTGGACCAACGCCTGACACCGTTACTCTGTCGGACCACCACTTGAGGCCCTCACATCCGCCGGACCACCGCCTGACTTCGTTGCTCCGTCGGACCATCACTTGAGGCCCGGACTTCTGCCGGGCCACCACTTAACGTCGAGAGTTCTCTTGAAGTACCGACCTTTTACTACGGTCTTTCTGACCCCGGTCTCCTGCCGACTACGATCCTTCTGACCTCCGTCGCCTATTATGGTCATTCCGACCTCCATCACTAGACAATGGTCTTTCTGACCTCGATTTTCTGTCGACTACGATCCTTCTGACCTCTGTCGCCTACTATGATCATTTCGACCTCCATCAACATACAACGGTCTTTCTGATTCCGGTCTCCTGCCAACTACAGTCTTTCGGACCTCTGTCTCCTGCCGACTACGGTCCTTCCGACCTTCATCACCAGATAATGATCTTTCTGACCTCTATCATATCGACTATGATCGTGCCGACCAAACAAACACATCTATGTTGATTATTACTCCCACCATGTAATGCACTTTATATGATGTACATTGGTGACATCAAGCCAATGCCTTCTCCTACGAAAGGACCTCATTTGTAATCGACTACAAATACTAGTGGATTCATTCAAATTGGGCTAGACCCCGTGGTTTTTTCTCTTTTCAGGGGTTTCCACGTAAAAACTGCATTGTCTCTTATGAACGCTATATCCTCTCTCTTATCTGATTGTGTGTTGGATCTTTGTACAACGTTAAGATATTAAACTATATATTTCTCTACCGCCGTGAATACTCCATAACGCAACAACTCTATATTAAAAAGAGAAGAAATTTTTTAAAATTTTTAAATATGTTTATACTTGAATCCTTCCTTCAATTATCTTTTATATTAATATTTGAAATGAGCTATCTTACAAGCTAATGAGTCCAATTAAAATTTGTCAACATGATTCCAAATGGAGCTTTGCTCCTAAAATATTTATTAAGTTAAATGCAGGCTGGCTGAAAAGTTAGACTCTTCGGTTGGGATAGTATTTTTTTAAGTAGTTTTTTTAACAAAAAATTTAAGTTTACAATTTTTTTGTGTTAGAATGTTCTTTAAAAAATAGTAAAAAATTGTTCACATAAAGTCTTAATTTGATTCAAGCTTCCTTTTGGGATATTTTCTAAATTAATATTTTCATAAAAAAAAGTTTTTAAATTAAAATTCTTTTACTAAAAAATTGATTTAGAAAGCAACGAGAAAACCGGCCTAATGAAATGAAATCCCGGTCATCTCTATAGATGTGGCCAACGTGGTTAGAGCTTTTAATGGACCGTCTCGTTTGGCCCCGACTTCCCTTGCACCACATCCTTTCGGCCTTCAGAGACATGAGATTGCTCACGCACATCGTGGACCCAGCAGGCAATGCAACCTGTAGATCGTGATTGCGACCTCCATGCTCTACCATCCCACTGGAGCCCATACTTCACCGGCAATGCCATTTTTGTGGCCGGAGAAATTATTTTATGAGGTCATCGGATGGCCCGGAGGCGAATCCCCGGAGGCGAATCAGGATGCGCCACGTCATCCGGCACACAGCCGTACACAACACCGATAGACATTTAAAAAGTGACATGGCGCGCCCTAATCCGCCTCTAGACGGCATCCGGTGACCGCAAAGAATAGTTTCACTTGTGGCCGTGACCTCAAGTGAAACTCGATCTCGCCTCAATGTCCAAACGTTCGACCCGCCCTACGTCGTCCTCGCCTAAGACACTCTGGATGCTCTCGACCTTGCATAGAACTCCTGTGCCTAAGATGCACAATCATTGATGATCTCCATCCACGTCGTATTCACCAGAGAGTAAGGATTTTGGCCTTTAGGGTATGGGGTCTATTTAGGGAAAAGTTATTTCAATTGTGTGGAGACAGATTTTTTTTCGCTCTTGTACACAAGAAGGGTACAAAGGATGTGTATAAGAGAAAGAAATGTACATATCTTTACGTGATTAGAGTTTAGACAAAAAGTTACGCTTGGACTCTGCGAGTAATAATCTCTACTGTTTAGGACGGCTGTAGCTCTTTTTAGAGATTCATTTGGGATTGTTGCAATTTTTTTATAATAATAATTATAAAATTAATAAAAAGAAAGTAATTGCTTTGAAGCTACAGTAAAGATTAGCTTTTTAGCACAAAAATTCATTGAAAGTGACTGGAAAACAATATTGAAGCAGAACTGTTGCGTGCTGGAATATTTGCACCATTAGAGAACTATAAGTTTAGCGTCCTAATTTTGTATGAAGATCCAGCATACAAACAAATAAGAATCTGCTAGTATTTGTTGGTTGATTACAAATAATACCTATCCTCTGAGGATGGTGCTGGCTCAATGTAAAAAATGCACATTGTATAAAGCTCATTATATGATAATTGTTCATAAAAGAGTGTTGACATGTCTTTTTGGTCAGTAGGATCATAATTGGAAGGCAACAATCGGAGAAACCTTAGTCGACGAGCGATGGTAGTTGGAGGAATTATAGTCGATGGGTTGGAGAGAATATAGTTGGCCGACAATGGCAATCGGAGGGATCATAGTTGGTAGGAGAGGGTGGTCAGAGGAATCGTAGTCGGTGCGTGACTATGGTCATAGGGATCATAGTTGGCTGGAGATGTTGGTTGGAGTGGCTCATAGTTGGCGGGTGGCTGTGGTCGAAGGGACCATAGTTAACAGATGATAATGGTTAGATGGTCTGTAGTCAGTAGACAAAGATGGTCAGAATGATTGTAGTTGGGCGACGGTAATCGGAAGGATCGCAGTTGGGCAATAATGGTCGCAATGACCATAGTCGGATAGTCTGGCGATGGTGGTTGGAAAAGCAGTAGTCGTCGGCGACAATGATCAAAAGGACCTTAGTCGGTGGGCATTTCTTAAGTTCATATGGAGGTTCGAAGGTCATTGTTGGATAGAGGTTCATCAGTAGGGGCCTAGTGGCGTATATTCAGCAGCGGTGGTGCCGAAATGGAGCTCCATGAGTCTTCAAGCTTGAGAGCTCTTCCCTTATTCATTCCCTTTCTTCCCCCTTTTATATGAAAAATGGGGGGTATATTTATATTTTTTTGGGAGTGTCATAGCTAATAAATATGGAGAAGATTAAAAGCATGTCGGGATTATTTCAATGGACGGCCGATATCAACTCCCTTGATCATGGACCACTTATAAAAAATTTGAGTGTCTAAATGATGTATGGATTTGGCGATCTTGGGCTCGTTGGATTCGCCTCGTCGAGCCACTCGATTCGACTATAAACATGTCACATTTTGATACCATTTGGTCATCCATTTCATGTTTTGAAGCTTCCAAATAACCTTCGGGCCTCGATTTGGATCCATTTGGGTGGGTTCATATTGGACCGATTTTGGTGTCGTTGAGTTCGTCTCTTTGAGAGATTTAGTTTGACTATAAGTTTGCTGAAATTGAAGTTTAAACGGTCACGAATTTAATTTTGAAAGTTTATGATTCATATTTATATTGAGATTCATTCATAATCAAGTTAATTGTTTGATGACATATCAAGAACTATGATCGCAGTTTGAAAAACAAAACATTAAAAAAAAAAATTATCTCAAAGAGACCCTATGTCTATGCCCTAGACATAAATTTACTTGATTTATTTTACATTCAACTAAATAATCTCATAAAATAAAAATGTATGTTGAAATACATCAAGGTCTTAAATGTTTGGAACCAAAGCCTTTTAATGATTTCAATCATTTTCTTATTTTTAGTACAATATATTATTAATGCTCAACTGCCCATCATTCAAAAATTAAAAGAATAATGAATAAGAGAAATATGGTTGCCGTCACCATCAGAGAAACGTCGGCAACGGAATTTTTAATAATAAATGGAAAAATATATATATAGTTCATTCAAAAGAAAACAAATCAGCTGGAACAAAAAAATAATAATAATAAGATTATATCCAAATAAGATTTTTAATAATTTTTATTATACTTATTTTAAAATAAATTTAACCATTTAGAAAAAGAAAATTTAACATAAATATTTTTCTCTCACAGCAAATCAATGATAATAAGATTAATTAGAAACAAATTAGACATAAAATTCATCAATTAACTTACTTCTTAAGCTCATATGCCTTTTTCAATGGAAATAATCTTTCCTGTTCGCCCCAAATAATCAATACATCCTGCAAAAAAAAATCATAATTAATAAAACATAACAAGAGAAATGTAGAAGAAGGAGCTGAATTATGACTAATATTATGTTTCTCCCCAAAATAATCTATGCATAATGATAATAATTATTATTTTTAATTAGGAGATTGACTTCCATAGCACTCAAAACATTAAGATTTATACATTTAACGTCTAAATTTCATTATTTACATATCTTTAGCACTCATGTTACGTTCGTTCGCTTGATTGTTGCTAGGTTTGTCGATGTGTTCTTCTAACGAGCTCATTTGTGACTTTCTTATCTTCGTCATCGCAAGCGTGTTGGACTTGTTGGAGGGCTTCTCCACAGGTGCATTTGCTTGCGAGTTCCATGAGCAAAAGAGGGGAGAACACACTGATGTCATGAAGATGAGAGATTATTATGTGTGGCGACCGAACACGGAACGTCAATGCATTGGGTGATGTGGCACGTTCGGATTGACCTCCAGACTCATCCGGACATCGCACGTAATAATTTTTCCATGAAGAGGGGAGATTGTTGGAGCATTCACATGTTTGCAGGTTGAAGAACACGCGTGAATGTCAATAGGTTGACCGGACTCGTAGGCGTGATGACGAGGCTAGACATTTTAGTGAGTTGTGTTATTTTTGATATTATTTTGATATTTTGGATGCTATATGTGTATAGAAAATAAAAAAAAAAAATAGATATTAATTATATAGACCTTGATATTTTGAATGTCATGTATATAAATCCCGGATTTGTTTTTATGCCTAAAAATGAAGTGGTCCAACAAAACAATAATGTTTTTTTTTTTTCTTTTTTAGATTTGGTTTGGGATAACTTTTTTTTTTATACATTTTATAACAGATTTTAGTAAAAAATTATTAATTTTAAAAAATATTATATAAAAAATTGCTGTAAAAAATAATTAAAAATCGCCATTATGTAAATCATTAATCCTGATTTATTATTTTTTTTATTTGACTACCTGAGGAAGAGCAGTAAGCTGGAACAGATCTTTGTTTCCCAGTGTAATTGCCTTGAAAAGCTCTTTCTTTTCTTCCAACTTCTCCTTGAAAATGTTCTGCAGAGCCATTACAATTACAAGAGTTTTTTTTTTTTTTTTTT